AGTTATTGCTCTATATTTGATATAAAATTTTTCTTCTTTTGTCCAATTTTGGTAAAGTGATCTACGGAAAAGAGTTCGGGTATAACTCAAATAATTCTAATTTGGCAATAGGAGGGAACGAAAGAGAAGTGAAAAAATTTTCTAAATTTAGAGGTTTTATCACAAAATCCCGACATGCAAAATCTCGACAGACTATAATACTGACATCACGCGATGTGATATTTAAAATTTTAAAGTTTGACAATTATTGTTAATAAGATTACTAATTCTTAAATGTTAATTGCCACGTCGGATTATGGTTTTCGACTATCATTAATTCACTAAAAATTTTTAACCAAAAATTCGATTATTAAAAATCGGTAAAAGAATAAGCGAAATAGACTGATACACTGATAAATAAAAGTATGCTTGTTATATAATTAATAATTATCGTGGTGAAGTCTTCTAAAATGTAAAAACATAGAAGAATTACATATTGACCAAAAAAGGTTGCAATAAATACAGTAATATAAAAGAATTAAGATAATTTAGGTTTATGACTGATATAATTTAGGCTAGAACTACAGAACAATTTTTAAGCAGCTTAACAGTTTAAAAGTTAAATCCTTTTTTTCAATAGTATTCTTTTTCTTTTTGGCAGATCACAAAAAGTGGGAGTTTACAACAGAAATTGTCAATAACTTTATAAATTATTATAAATTGAAATCTTTACTTGTTTAATGTATATAAATAAACTTATGAAACATGCTGATTAAAATTAACAGATAATATTATACAATTTTATTTTCAAGCCGAAAGACCTGATAAATAAGATATCAACTCTATGAAACGCTGCCGTTTCATCACTAGCCAAAACAATGTTTTTACTAATTGAAAAGATAAAAATATCTAGATTAATCTTTCTTTATTAAAACTTTTTGATTAAACTAAAAATTCGTGCATCAACTATTTATACCATTTATACACATATAATAAGTATAGCAAAGAAAATGAAAATATTTATTTATTTTGTAAGCTCAAATTTCAAATGATTAAAAGATCATTTTGTTGCAAATAATTTTAAAATTTTTAATCACTTGATTTACATAATTTTGAAATTTAAAAAAAATTTTATAAAGATATGAAATTATAGATGTCGGAAAAGAAACAATTTCAAAAAGATGTTTGCGTAAATACATGTGTAAATAAATCAAAGAGCTTATATAAAAACAAAAGTGAAATAATACACTTAAATTTCTGTTGCTAAATTACATTGAAGCTCATACTTCACACATCTCAAACAAGGAATTGATTCTTGATCACATTTTTTCTTAGCCTGTCTACAATTGTTACATGCTTTTTTAGCATGTTGACGTTTATCGGGATTATTTTCAGCTCCATCAATTTCACTGATATCATTATCATCAGCATCGCCGATTTCTTTACGATTACTTATTTTCACGGATGGTCCTTCAGAAGATCGTTGATTATCGTTATCATAACTTGCAGAAGACCAATTTCTTTTCGCATCCGAACCATATTCTCGTTTAATAAGGCTATAAGTTGTATTATCTTCTAACGAATACCAAGCTCCAGTGATAATATGCTCTTCTTTTTCATCGACTAAAGAAAAACTTTCTACAGAAAAAGCTTTCGAAATTTCTTGACGAATATCATCTTTGGAGTCGGTTGGAAAAAATCTAAACTTGGTATATGAATGCTCTTGGCTAGATTTTTCAGATTTATTCACACCAGCTAATCTAATTGATACACACTTGGACGGAAATGAAGAAGGATTAGAAGGTATAAATGCTTGAGAAACGTGGGGAGATTGATAATGAGACATTTAATCTAATTTTAATAATATTTGAAAATACAATTGCGTTTGTGATTGCGTTTAATAATAATCAAATTCGATATTGATATTAACAAGTTCGATGTTTTTAACAATAATAAACATAACTAAAGAGAATAACGTAACAGATAAATTTATTCGAATCGGAAAAAAAATCAATGTTAACACACAATTACGAAAAAAAACTTGGTAATAAAAAGAAAAATATCGGATGGCCAAAAAAAAATTTTTTTCATATAAAGAATTACAAAAACCAAAACATGAAATCACATAATTATAAAACGTAATAACGAAACGTTCAATATAATCGAAATCAAACCATTACAAAAGATTACGAGCAGTTTTAATTGATTTTTGTAACGCTTGGCGAGACACAAAGGTTAGACATTGAGCCTATTTATGAGATTTCATAAAGTATATCAATAAAATATGCTGTATATCTAGGAACAGTCAATTCCGGATTAAATTAATATAATGAATTTGGTCACATTTCATAAATACGTAAGATGTAAGATCATAAAAAATTCCGTATATATAAATGACTGCTTTGTTATCTGAATAATATAATAAAAACTAATGTCCGAAGGATAAATAGGTTGATCAATATGTACAAAAAATAATGATTATGAGCAAATTTAGCAAAAAAATAAACTAATGCTAATCCACGGCTTTAATCTGGCGGGAAATTTAAATCTCGGGTTACACTATTTCTCACTAATTCGCACTATTATTGGGTGTTCTTTTTTTTTGTTACCTAATAGTAGATGTCATATACCATTTATCGGAGTTTGTTATAATTGTTGGTTATTTAATCTATTAAAATATTACTGCATGATTATAAAATTAGATTAGAATTAAGGAATATTTAAAGAATTTATATCTTTAAGCAAACAAACAAAAAAAAAAGGAACTAATATAAAACTGCACATTCTATATGGAACTTGAATGAGAATTAAGTAAAAATAACTCAAATAGTTTTCATAATAACGATGAAGAAATTACCAAATATTTGGTATAGTAGATCCAAGAAACCCCTTTGAAATTGGTTAACGGACAAAATCGCCAAAAATAGAGAATAAATAAATCTTTAATCCATGTCTTTTTTGGTTAGTAAGGGCTGACGTATTAGAAAGTCGGAGCCATCGGAGTGCGGAATGATTTTCAAGCATGTACATACGTATGACATGTGCACATACGTATGTACACACGTCAACAAACAGATTACTTATTCCGAAATTTAACAATTACAAATCGTAAAATATGGTTATTGACCGCGGTCCGAAGTCCGATTCTTAAATTACCATTTTTTAATTTACAATTAACAATACACTGCATCATAAATTTTTTAATTCTCTAACATGCTTCATTTTTTTTTGCTCTTATTTGTTACAAGCTTATTTATATGCTTAAGAAAATTTAAGGTGGTAATTATTATAATTCCGACCACTATATCAAGTTCACAGGGAATGAACTAAAAGAAGGATTCGTAAGTGGTCATTTAATATTTCGATATAATTGGGAATAAGCTGAGTAGAAGAGCTTAAGATCTTATTCTTAGGAATTTGGCCGATGCTTGGCACTCTCCCCTGTAAATATGGTTAATTAATCCCTGTAAAAAACTTTAGTTGCAGAAAATTTTTTATAGAAGCGAACTTTCTTTATATTAAATTAATGTTATATATATTAGTACGTATTAGTATCAAAATATTCTACTCTAAACTAGCACATTCTATTATCCGTATATTAACGAATTAGGTTTTATTTTAATGATGTTTTATTAAAATTTAGAACTAACACACAAGGATCCAGCTCTGTTAACACCACCGATTTATTACTAATATAATTGATCAATAATAGAATTGTCGCCATTATAGTATCTGTTATAGAATCTATTTTACAGGACACACTACTTCGGCCGAATATCTAATTGGGTAACGTGACAGAAAATTTAGGTATATTTCAGAAAATTGATCCGAAATTGATCAGAAATAGATCCGTAGTAGATTTTTTCAGGATTCGATGCAAGATAATCATATAGAAAAAAAAGAATTTAATTTTTAACAGACGCCTTGGCATGCTTAACACGTCGAAGGTGGCAAAGATATGTAAAATATGAAGATTGTACCTGCCGAAAAAATCTTTATCAAGTATAATAATAATGATAATAATAATGATAATGATAATAATAATAATAATAATAATAATAATAATAATAATAATAATAATAATAATAATAATAAT